AAGTAGGCTTCCTGCGGAGCAGGGAGCCCGATGCGGGGCTCAATCCCAGGACCCTGGGATCCTGACCTGAGCTGAAGGCAGAGGCTCAAAGACTGAGTCACCCAGGCACCCCGAGCTCTGTGTGGTCTTATTGAGCTTTAGATTTTTGTGACATCCAAGTCTGGGAGACCAGTGAATTCTCAGGTCCAAGAGGGAAGCCTGGTTGGAGGCTGATGTCACAGGCTGGGGATGGAGTCGCCTGGGGACCCTACCAGATCCTACCTGCAGGGGAGTATCCTAAAGGCACAACTATGCCCTTCTACCATCTGGGGGGCTCACGATTCATTTCTACAATATCTAAATTTTTTTAACATTGGAATAGTAGAAAGCCTTATCTCAGAAAATCCAACCAGAGGAAAGAATTTGTGTTTGACACTTTCTTGCTTTAGATGCAACAAACATATTCGAAGGGCCTAAGGTGTGCTGGGCCCATTTGCCCCTTTGCCAGTACTATTTCGCCTATTGAGTTTGACACACAATAACACAGAACAATAAACACTCTTGCTCCCATTTCGCAGGCAAGGAAGGTTGTCACAAAGTAACTGGTGGCTGGAATTCCAATCCCCAAGTCCTCCCGGGAGGAAAGTTGCTATTTCCTAAAAGATACCAAGCTGACTCAAAGGAAGCAAAGACCAATAATAAGAGTCAGGCTCTTTTCTGTTTTATAGATTTGATTTTATCTCATTCCCTGGGGATTTTCCATTTTAGAGAATCCTGGGCTTAGCCAGCCAGCTCCTGATACAACACAAGTACAGCCCAAGGGCCAGCCGAGAAAGATATTTGCCTAATCGCTAAGAAAGCAACATGACACTCTGCTGTCCTGCGGTTATGGTGACTAACACATCACCAAGGGGCAGGAAGGATTTCACACCAGGGTCCCTCCGGCTAGCACTAGTCCCCAAAGTACGTAAGACCTGGAGCCCTTTCCCGACGCCCTCACAAAAACAACCTGATCCCTATCTTTTGCAAACCCTTGTAGATATGCTCATTATATGAAAAATTAAGACCGGTTGTACTCTTAGTAATTTTGTGAGCTTTTAAAAAAAAAAAAATTCACATTGTATTTTTTCACTTGATGAGCCAGCCTTGAGTCTGGACTCCTTTACAAGATTCCCATCCATTAAGAAACTTCTTTTCTTAGTGTCCAAGTCTCTACGCTTTCCTTTCATGTCTCCCAACACACATGATTTAGCCTAACTGGCTGTCAGCTCGTCACAGAGGAGTGATCGAAACACTGAAAAGCAGAGTCCCCCACAGTGAGCAAGGGCACAGGTGAACGCGCGAACGTGATGACCACTGACTCAAGTCGAAGAACTGCTGGATGCGGCTTGAACTACAGCTAGCAGGTGGAGGGGGAGCCCTTGCCAGGACGGGGGCGGAGATGAGGAGCCTAGCTCCCTGCTACACAGCCCTGGGCCCTAGCGTGTCATGTGTCTGCCACCGGGATTCCCCCGCTCCTGACACGGGACGCCAAGTCTGGGACGCACTGGCCCTGGGAGCTGTGAATGGGGATGAGCCATGGGTGGCTTCCTGGCCGCAGAGACGGGGGCTCAGGATGCAGGTTCGCCGGGGTGGGGAGTGCAGGCAGGGGCCCTAGGCACTCTGGCTGGGGCGGGTGGGTGGGCAGTGCGGCTTCTGGACCCAGCCACCCCATGGCCCGAACTAAGGTTCTGCTCATGACGTTTGTTCAAAACAAAAGTACAGGAGTGAAGGATGGCTCAGGCACCGTGGCTCCCATCACTTTTGGGCACGGAGGAGGGTGCCCATTCCTGTCTCTGCTGCCCAGACTGCTGCTAGGGATGGCGGTGGAGAGTGGCCAGGATTGGGGACTGGGCTGGTTTGTGGTTCGCTGGCAAAAACAAGGTGGGGGGAGTTGGGTGATGAGGGCAGGGATCAGGGGTGAGCAGCCCCCACCCCAGGGTGGGGGAGGATAAAGCCTGACTCATGGGGCCACACTTGGCTGGGCTTCCAGACTCAGGAGTTATTGGGGGTGAGGGGTGGACACAGAGGGCAGGCCTGCCTAGTCTTAGATGCCTATCGGAATGGAGAAGCCTAATAAAGGAGACAGGGATGCTGAGAAGTTCTGGGGAGAAGTCAGGGCGGTAAACAGGAGGAATTTGGGAGTCTGGGGCCAATAGGTTCCACAAAATCTAGCCCCTAGCTCTCCCTTTCATTCCACCACCTGTCTCCTGTAACACCTACCGCCCAGCCATCTGGAAACTCTTACCGTTCCTAATCACATCAGGCCCTCTCTGGCTCTGATCCATTGCACCATGTGACTTCTGTCTGGACCGCCTTCCCCTCTAGTCCCTCTTGTGCTCACCTTTATGGCTCAGCAAGACTTCTCCTGTGAGGCCAGTTGGCTCCACCATGTCAGAGTCAGGTGCTCTGTCCCCCTGCAGCCTGTCCCACTGTATGACCATTTATGTGTGTGTCTCTCATGTCTCTCTCCTACTGGGCTGTGAGCTCTTCAGCAATGCCTGTCAACACCTGGGACAAACCCCACCCAACACATGGCCTTCACCTACCAACAGGCTTGGCCTACCCACCTGGACTGGGCCCCTGCCCTGGGTTCCCCGGAAGCAGACTGCAGAATGTTACTCAAGGAAAGCGCCAGGGGAGGCTGGTAGGAGCAGGGGTGCAGACCAGGGAGGGGTGGGGAGGAAGGAGAGGGTCTCAGGCAAAGCCCTACAGAGGCAAGGGGCCTTCTACCTCATCGCGGAGCTCCTCTGGAGCAGAAGTGGTGCCTCAGACTCATGCCAACGTGAGGAAGGGAGCCGGGCTTTCACAACTCTTCAGAGGTGGGGGCCACGTCCTCTTCTCTGCGAGTGTGGAAGATGGAAGAGCCGCAGGGGCTGTTGGGGGAAGCCAAGCAGGGTGGGGGGAGCCCACGTGTCTGCAAAAGGATCCACCCAAGATGTGGGCAGAGAATCAACGTTTGCTCAGGCCACTCCTTGCCCCACGCCCCGCCCCGCATGGATTCCACTCGGGGAAGGACGCTGATGCCAGAAGGCCTGGGCGGGGGGGTCACCCTATGGCCCCTACTGCTGCAGTGGGCACTCATCTCCCCCACCATCCCCGGACCCCCTTGCCCTCAGCACCTCTGCTGCTCCAGGAGGCCCGTCTAATGGGATGACCCGGACCCGCACCCCTGAGGGGTCAGAGCCCCATTTGAAAGATCTGATACCCCATCGCCTCGGTGAATGGTTACTCAGGGAAATGGCTCTGGCCCATCGGTGGGGGGATGGGGGAGTGAGGAAATCACCATTGTACACAAATACTGTAAACAGTGGCAGAGGGAAGGGAAAAGCTGTCCTTAGGAGATGCCCAAACTGGCTTCCTCAAGCATCTACCCTGAGGTCCCCATCCCTCCCGGCAGGGTTTTATTGAATAGGCCCATCCTAGGCCAACGGACTCAGGTTACAAGGAAGAGTCTGGGGCGAGGAGCACTGGGCATGGGATTGAATATGAAGTCCCTCGCTCTAGAGCGACCAGGAAAATATTCTGCCGAAATGAAACTGGTGGCAAGACACAAAATCCAGCCGTGCAGAGACAAGACAATGTATTTCTTCATTTAAATTTATTTTTCAATTTTTGTTGCTCACTTAACCAACACATTTGTAAAATGTCGCAGGCTGTGTTAGTAAAGGAGAAGCAGGGAGCAAAGAGAGGGGGGCAGCATCGAAGCAGCCGCACATGGGAAGTCAAGAGCAGGAAGCAAGCACTTGGGGCAGAAGGGGCGGGCAGCCTCCTCCACTGTCCTGCCTTCCCACAGGCATTAACATTGCCAATGCTCAGACAGACCCCCAGACAATTTTGTAAACGTTGTAAAAAGCATTTCTGTTGCCTCCAACCTTTGTCCCCCAATTTCTCCCTCTGACCCCACCAGTGATGAGGCCGGATCTGCTCGGGCCAGCACCCTGCATAGCCCGGCCCAGGAGAACCCTGCCCCTGGGTCTCAAGGCCCCAACCCCACAGCCTTAGTCCCTGGACAAGCAAAAGAGAAGCCCAGAGATGGCAGATCCCAGGGAGGTCAGGGCGGGCTGAGCTCAGAGCTCCTTCCCCAAGGGGAACACTCCACTGGACTGTGGAGAGCATTCTCGGAATGCCCTCTGCTTCAGCCGCAGGCTCCTGCTCAAGAGGACACTGCCAGGCCACCGTGGGCGCGGGACCTTGGCAGCAAAGAGGGCGAGAGCCTACCTCCCACACTCGCTGGAACCCTGGGTTCCCCAAGAGGGAAGGTTTAGCTTCAACCCAGGGAAGGGCTTCCTGGCATTTGTGCACTGACCCAGGGGACACTCTGACCCTGTGCTTAAGAACACAAACATTTTAATCAGGATGATATCCACCCTGAGGCATTTTCATTCTAGAAAGTACTTTCAAGGCAAATGCCATTGACGACAATTTAACGCCTTGATCGGTTTTCTACAAAGTGCAGATACATTTCCTTTTTTCCCCATTTTTTTTTTCCTTGAAGAAATTTTCACCAGGACCAAATCCTACTCGTGTGCGTTTTACCACATATATTTGATTCCCTGGTTAGTGTTCGATGCGTGTCTGATGTCACCAACTGTCACACGTGTCACTGGCAGTTTTCTCCTGCGGCTCTCACTTCTGCCAAGTCCAGTTTTCCGGGGAAAGGGCTTTGGCAGACTCCTCACGGATCGGTACCCAGGAACAAATCTGGGCGGCGCGCTGTTCGTACGGATGCGCGACACCTGGGCTGCCTGGCCCCGGCGGCTTTCCTCTCGTGGCGCGAGGAGCGTTTCCGAGGGTCCGTGTGTGAACGTGGCCTCCCCTCCGCTAAGCAGGGAGAGCGCTGGAAGCCCGGCCCCGCGGCCACGGAACGGGGCGGGAGGAGCCCGCGCCCTCCCGGGCCCCCCCGCCCCCCCCCCCCCCCCCCCCCCCCCCCCCCCCCCCCCCGCTCCGTGCCCGCCCGGTCCCGGTCCCGGTCAAGGCGCCTGCTCGGAGCGCGGTGGGCCGCCGGTGGCCGCGCGCGAGCCGCGGAGCAGGCCCAGGCCTCGCGAGCGGCCGGCGCCGTGCAGCTGGCGCTCGTGGCGGCGGATCTGCACCTTGTGGCGGAAGCGCTCGCCGCAGTCCTCGCAGACGTAGGGCCGCTCGCCCGAGTGCGTGCGCCGGTGGCGCAGGAGGTTGGACGAGACGCTGAAGCGCTTGCCGCAGTCGCCGCAGGCGTAGGGCCGCTCGCCCGTGTGCGTGCGCTGGTGCTGCACGAGCGCCGAGCTCTCGCTGAAGCGCTTGGCGCAGTAGGAGCAGGCGTAGGGCTTCTCGCCCGTGTGGATGCGCTGGTGCGTCACCAGGTTGGAGTGCTGCGAGAAGCCCTTGCCGCACTCGCCGCAGCGGTGCGGCCGCTCGCCCGTGTGCGTGGCCTGGTGCCGCACCAGGTCCGTGCTGCGGCTGAAGCCCTTGCCGCACTCCCCGCAGATGGTCGGCCGGTCCCGCGCGCGCCGCCGCCGCCGCTGCCTGGCCGGAGTCAGCGCCGCGCTGCCCGCGGGGCCCGGGATGGCCACCACCGCGGGCGCCGCCACGGCCGGCAACACCATGAGCTCCTGCAGCACCACGTAGCCCGGGGGGGCCACCACGACCGCGGCTGGAGCGCCCGGGGCCGGAGTCCCGCCGCCCCCTGCGGCGGGCACCAGCTCCAGCTGCAGCTCCGGCTGCACGGGGGTCAGCTCCAGCTGCACCTCCTGCTGCTGGGCTCCCAGATCCACCGGGGTCAGCTCCAGCTGCACCTCCTGCTGCTGCTCCAGCTGCTGCTGCTGCTGCTGCTCCAGCTGCTGCTCCAGCTGCTGCAGCTGCTCCTGCAGTTTGAGCTGCAGCTGCCGCTGTTCCTGTTGTCTCTCCAGCTCCTGCCGCTGCTGCTCCAGTTCCTGCTCCGTCCCCAGGTCCACCGGCATGAGCTCCAGCTCCACCTCTTCCTCCTCCTCTGGCTCCAGTGGACGGGGCTGCTGCTGCTGCTGCAACAGCTGCTGCTGCTGTAACTGTTGCTGCTGCAGCAGCTGCTGCTGTAACTGTTGCTGCTGCTGCAGCTGCTGCAGCTGTAACTGTTCCTCTTGCTTCTGCTGTTCCTGCTGCAGCTGCTGCAACTGGTCCTGTTGATGTTGCTGCTGCTGTAACTGTTGCTGCTGCTGCTGCAACTGGTTCTGCTGTTGCTGCTGTAACTGTTCCTCCTCCTGCTGCTGCTGCTGTAACTGGTCCTGCTGTAGGTGCTGCTGCTGTAACTGGTCCTGCTGCAGGTGCTGCTGCTGCTGTAACTGGTCCTGCTGCAGGTGCTGCTGCTGCTGCTGTAACTGTTCCTGCTGCAGGTGCTGCTGCTGCTGTAACTGGTCCTGCTGCAGGTGCTGCTGCTGTTGCTGCTGCTGTAACTGGTCCTGACGCAGGTGCTGCTGCTGCTGCTGTAACTGGTCCTGCTGCAGGTGCTGCTGCTGCTGTAACTGGTCTTGCTGCAGGTGCTGCTGCTGCTGCTGCTGTAACTGGTCCTGCTGCAGGTGCTGCTGCTGCTGCTGCTGCTGTAACTGGTCCTGCTGCAGGTGCTGCTGCTGCTGCTG